TTAGAAAGAGCAAGTCGGGAGCAAAACTGCGCACTAAACTTCACAAGGAGGGAACTGCACGAGGGTTCCCAAGCCCTCTTGCGACGCCCCGCACTTTAGTCCCACGTAGACCAGTGTGAAGAATTTTTAGTGGCTTAAATAGATAAAAGCCCATAGTCCAAGAACAACTAGTGCTACATCGCAGATACATCCTTGGCATACGTTTTCATATTTGATAGGTATTCTCATCTGTGTATGATCGCCTTTGAAAGCCGACGTATAAAATCTCTTTAGAGGCTTTCGATATGTCCAAGCACAGACGAACTCGTAAAGAGCCAACCCCTAATCGTGTTTTCTTCACCATTGTCTATTTCGATCGATGGGCCTACTTTATTTCCCAACTTAACCCCCATATTTCGGTAAATTATAAAAACGAACCCAATAATTTTGCTTTATCCATAATCAACCCCGTTGGTTGTATCCTCTTCTCGAGCTCTTGCAAAATAACCACATTATTACCAAAGTGCCACGGCGCCCCTTCCCGCGCCCTCTTCATGAAGCGTAACGAGAGCTAGCACTTTTTAGCAGTGGATTAAACCAAACAACACGTTATAGTCGGTGTGTCCCACAACAGGCTCGAGGGTCCTAGGCGTGACAACCGCTTCTTTGGTCGTGAAGAGCTTATTTGATCTGTTTGCTTGTTTTCTCAGGTCACTGAAATCAGAAAAGGCGACGTTTCCAAAAGACAAACCACAAGTTACGCAAGTAAGAAAGATTTGTTGCATTGTCTGCCAAATCTAAATAACATTATTATGCCAGTTCTGTTATTATTAGTTAAATTTTTGCAGTTGTAAAAGAGATTACATATATTAAACTTTGAAAAAAGTTTAAAAACCTAAAATAAAACCGATTTCACTACCTAAAATCCAAAAAAAAGAAAAAAGAACTGTCTCTGCAATATCCTATACATAAAAACCTCACGAACAATAGATACATCACTCAATGCACCCCTTGAGTGGGGGAAAAAAAAAAGACGAGGATTACCAAAATAAAGGAACAAATTAAGATGCGCAACAATAATAAGCATTTGCTTTTTTATACTAATGAAGAGTCTTTCATCCCAAGAATGCATGCCTCTGACGCAGAAGAGCTATGCTTATCCTCAACAGACTCACCATTCACACACATAACGGACTTCACCTTCCAATAACCACCACTCTTTTTCTTCTCACCTCCATTCCCCCATCTACCCTCACCCTCTTCGCCCCCCGAATTCGAAACCGAGACCCCCCTCCAGTTGCACCAAATCCTCAGCATTATGTAAAGCATCACCAAACAAACTGCTGCTGAAGTCAACACGATCGCCACTATAATGCACACCACTGCCGCATTCGACAGCCCCTCTTTCGATTGATTTGACAACACGATGCACGAATTCAGTGGTTGCCCGCAGAGCTTATTATTACCCAGGAAAGAAGTTGCAGGAAAGTGGGAGAACTCACTGGGAATTTGGCCATAGAGAAGATTGTTCGATAAGTTGAGACACTGGAGACTAGTTAGTTTTTCAAGAAGAGAAGGTATTTGTCCTTGCAGTTGGTTGAATGACAGGTTTAGTCTCTCTAACTTGACGAGATTACCAAGTGTCGAAGGGATTTTGCCAGATAACTGGTTTCGACTCAAATCCAATATCACTTGCAGCTCACTTAGCATTCCTAAGGCTTCTGGTATTGAACCTGTGAGATGATTCTCAGATAATCTCAATTCATAAAGCTTGCTGCAGTTTGCAATTGTCGAAGGTATTGATCCAGAGAAGTTGTTCTTTTGCAGTATAAGGACATTCAGAGAATTGAGATTCCCAATCTCCAATGGAATTGCACCTGAGAGTTTGTTGTCGCTAATGGAAAGCTTGAGTAGGCGAGAGCACTCCCCGATTTCAGCTGGCAAATTACCATAAAATTTGTTGGATGAGAGATCAAGTTCCCCAAGCAAATTCAGGACTCCGAACCAAGAAGGGATCTCTCCAGATAACCCATTCCCATTGAGAAGGAGATGAGTCAATTGCTTGCAGTTCGAAAGCTCCAAGGGGATTTCACCAGTGAGATTATTGAAGGAAAGATCAAGGAAGTCTAGTATCTCAAGTTGGCCTAATTCGACTGGAATCGAACCATTCAGTGAGTTGTGGCCAAGTCTCAGACGAGTCAGGTTTCTCGACTGGCCAATGAAGGGCAAAATTTCTCCACTGAAGCTGTTGTTAGTGACATCTATTTTTATTAAAGAAGTTGAATTCAAGAGAGGGGAGAGACTTCCAGTGAGCCTGTTGTGACAAAAATTGATGAAACTGAGGTTCTTGAGATTGTATAGCGAATCCGGGAGAGGGCCTTCCAGTGAATTATTATACAGAGTGAGAACTTTGAGCTCAGATAGGAATCCAAAAGTGGGAGGAATAGAACCTGAAAGCTTGTTATCAGCCAAGGCTAAATCCTGAAGTTGATGGCAGTAGCCCAAGCTTGCTGGAATTGGACCCGAGAGCTCATTCTGCCTCAACTGAAGCACAACAAGATTCTTGAGCCTTCCAATTGTGACGGGAATCTCACCTGTGAAGTGATTGCCAAAGAAATCCACCTCCTCCAAGCTCGTGCAGTTCGTAAGTTCTTGCGGGATTATTCCAGACATCTGGTTTTCATACAAATGAAAGAGAGTTAACCTCTGCAATCTGCCAATCTCTGCAGGAATTCCACCAGTGAGGCTATTGTGAAAGAGTGACAGCATCTCGAGATTGCTAAGATTTCCAATTTCGGGAGGTAGATTTCCAACAAAACTGTTGTTGTGGAGCAACAAATTGGTTAGTTTTGAAAGGCGATCGATATTTGAAGGAAACACTCCATTGAAACTATTATTTGAGATATCGAGCGATTTCAGAGAAGTGCAATTCAGCAGTGCATCAAAGGAGCCAGTTAAATTGTTCTCTGCAACGAACAGGTTCTCCAAGCTCGAGCTACCAGGGCAGAGATCAAGAGAGATTCCTCCCTCCAAGAAGTTGTTCGAGAGAACTAGATACTCGAGATTCTTGAGATTGCTAGTTGAGAGATTGATAGTACCTGAAAGATTGTTCTGAGACAAGTCTAAGATTTGAAGCTGGCTTAATTGGTTCAGCTCCACTGGGATCCCGCCGCTGAGGCCATTGCCAAGCAAATACAGATAATTTAGATTCGAAAGATTTCTGAGTTCAGTAGGAATCAATCCAGAGAACCGGTTATTGGCAAGATTAAGAGTTTGCAATGCAGAGAGTCTCCCAATTGAAGGAGGGATATTCCCTTGTAGATTGTTGTCAGCTACTGAAAGAACTTGGAGATCCTTGCAATCAGCAATCTCTTCAGGTAGTATGCCACTGAGACTGTTCTGCTGTAAGTTGAGAATATTGAGTCGCTTCAAACTGCGGAATTCCATTGGAATGCTTCCATTTAGTTGGCAGGAAGCAAGAGCTAGTGTTTCCAATGCAGTGCAGTTGCTGAGTTGTGGTGGTATCCCTCCTGACAACAGATTATCTCCTATTCTCAGAACTTTGAGCTTCTTCAAAATGCCAAGCTCAGGAGGGATCGATCCTGATAAAAAATTTGAGTAGAGAAGCAACTCCTGCAGGTTCTTGAGAAAGCTAAGCTCCCAAGGGATTGGCCCAGAAAAAGAATTCAACGATAAATCAAGAACCTGAAGAGAAGTAAGTTGTCCAATCTTTGAAGATATGGAACCAGAGAGCCCATTGCTCGACAGGTTCAGACTCACAAGGTCTTGGGTCTCGCCTACAAAGCATGAAACTCCATTCCAGTTTCTGCAAAGATCAGTGTCTGATGACCAGCTCCTAAGAAGTCCTCGTGGATCGATCACTTCAGACTTTACTTGCAGCAGGATGTTAGACTGAATTGTTATATCACCACAGACAGTGATAAGAATGGAACTGAGCAACAATATTAAGAGGTTCTGCTTCCCACCCATTTCTGAGTTCAAGTCAAGAATGGGAACTTACAGCATTAGTTTACTAAGATGAGAGAGCTGGAGTTTGGGAAGATGAACCTTGGAGTTTCCTAGAATGTAAGTTCAACTGAACAGGTATAATAGCAGTTGGAAAGTGATGGATGCTTTATAAGAGTAATGTTCCACAGGACAACTGCTCTTTATTTCCCATTTAAGTTGGAACCTTAAGACTCTAGAGATAGTGAAAGATTTGGCATGCTTAGAAAATACCTAGGTGACCCACTTCTGGAGTTCAAAATGCTGATATCAATGTTATTTATTTATTTTAATCCATCATCACTTTTCCCATTTTGGTGCCATGATTCAGGAATGATTGGTTGAATTCTTTGCATCATGATTTGAAGAGGAGATCCTCATCAAATGGATAATGGATGGTCAATTGCATCTCTGTGTATTTCAAACATGATGGAGATGGTGAGATTCTTAAATGTTGGAGTCAAGGAGGAAATATGAGAGTCTACTCACTCATACCACATGAAGTCAAAGCTACATCATTTTTATCTGTCCTGCAAGTCTACTGAATGCAAGCAAGAGATAGAAAATACCATATGAACCGACCTAATTTCTTTGACACAACTCTTGATTCAAAATTTTCAATTATGGTCAACATAAGGTATTTTGATTAACAGAACCAATAATATTAAATATTTCATGTATGCCAGCAATATGAACAACGTTGGAGGTAATTAAGAAGTATATGATAGTTTACAGAGGAGATGATCGAAAATAAAACTTAATGGAGGAATATGATTCATGCAGCTGACCTCAAAAAATTTGGGACAAACACTTTGTTGTGGTTATGTACAATATGAATAACATACTAGCAATTACTTCATATGCATTAGCATTTAACAAACTAGTTGTGGAATTTTCTCTAGATAATTAACACATGTCTAATGTGAAGTTGTAAAATGCTAGTCTATAAATTCAACAGCAAGGCTGAACACAACAGAGAAAATCAACAAGAAAAAAAAAATCCAATTCTCATCAACCTTTTGTATTTAGGCTTGATTAGACCTATATCTAACCCTTATGATTCTTTAAGATTGAGTGAAGCCAATGTCCTGGGGTCCGCAACCCTTTTTTTCTTCTACCTAAAACTCACCTAATACAAAATTTTAAACCAGAAAAAAACAGACTGGCAAAACTAAAACCACCCTCCCCCTTCGAAAACCAGCATGCTTTTTTTTCACCGGTAATCTTACTTAATCCCCAGTTTATGATTCCACTGTGAAGAAAGCCCCAAATGTGTGCAGACAGAGGGAGTTGCTCTCTCTTATTTCATCAATTCTTCTGTAGACAAAATCATTTTCTCTTCCTTAGCTTTTCACACCCTCCTTTCTCCTTTCACCTTTCTAAGTTTATCAGGACTTTAATTATTTTGTAGGCAAAGGCAATTGAAAAAGACACAAAGGAAAGTCACATCAAAGGTCCATGACAAGGAAATAAATAATGGCATGCCTCATGTTAAAGTCATATAAAAGAAATACATTAAGCAACTAAAATTAACACATCCACAAGTCAAGGATAATATGGCAAGCTCTGTTAAGCGGAGTACAAATTTTATCAGAACATCCGTTGAGTGTTCAAGCCTTTCAGGGAGAGGATAAAGGGTCATTTGGGGATTTTACACGTTTTTTTAATGGTTTAAACCACCTCATTCGTATAGGGAGTATTCTGATAAGATTTGTATTTAACAGCCAAAAAAAACCTTCTCCTAGTTTTAGAAACATGCTAAGGAATTTCTGTAGTAGAAAACTACAAGCATAATAGTGGGAGAGAGATTGAAGGAAACAAGAAAGGACAAAGGAGAAGGTATAGATCATGGGAGGACCAAAATAGTGATAAGATTATAATAAAGAGAGCATCAATAATGACGACGGTGATATAGTTTTTATAGAGAGGGGGTGGCCTCTTACATTGTTTTGAAATGGAAAGAATCTAGAGACATCAGCTGCAATATAGAACAACTTCTCAACCACCCTTTGATTTGGTAACATGAAGACAGTAGTATTTGATTTAATTTCCACCACTTGGCTCGTTGTTTAATCAAACTCTTGACCTTTCTTGACTAGAAACATGTTGACTTTCCCATAGGAATAATGAATGTTGATTTTGGTATCCAAATTTGGGCACAATTCCATAACCAATTCATAGCATTAGGTAGCTAGCAAGAGAATCCAGGGACTTCATGAATTTGGTCAGCTTGGCCCCACTTGCTTAGAAAATTTAGAAGCCAACAGAGCAAAGAAGAGTGACTGACCCTTCTAGTCATATGAGAATGATTCTTACACGTATCAGAATATATGCTGCTCATACATGAAAATTTTGAAAGGATCTATTTCAATATGTCAAAAATCAGGAGAACTTGGTACGAAAAAAATAATATGGATAGATTTATCACTAACAACTGTTCTACCAAATAAATCTTAGTTTCTGCCAATGTGTTAAAATGTGCATCAGAATAATATGAATCACTAAACTAGAGAACTCACCAAGCATTTTTGTAACATCACGTCGAAAATAAATTTACAAAAATATTCTAAATTCAGATAATAATAGCATATATAATACACAAATGTGATCAGCAAAAATCTTTTTTATGAACCTGAGCCAAATATTCTGGTGAATATACAAGGCAACATTGCAAGAACGGGATATTAGAATGTAGCCAAATGGTCAAGCAGATTCAAAAGGAAGCAACACATATGTCCATCTTGTAAAATTTTCTTACAGTCCTAAAGGAATGGAGCCAACAAAAGAACATGTTTGAATTCATGAATCAAGAGAAAATTTGACCAAATGGCAAAAGTTCACAAGAATATCGTGCATATATATACTTAATATTTACAGAAGAACTAAGTACTAGTCCATAGGAGCTACTGTACACAGTTACAGCTGCTCATCTTAGATGTGATTCAAACCTTGTAAAACTCTTTCACCTAGTACAATGCCTTAATCTAATTTCAGACGAGAGAAAACAGGATTGCCTGATATTTTTCCATTTGACCAAGTCTTATGACTTGACAGTAACCAACACATATCATCAGTTGGGAGAGTTAGTTTTGCTTATCCAAGTTAACATGCATTAGCTAATGTGGAGCCATACCTTGAATTTAGTTCGATGAATTTCCCCTGCTTCCATCAACACTTTAAAGTAGTGCTCCCTTTCAGTCAGCCTATATAACCAATGCTCTATATCTGTAAAGACTTTATCCGTTCTCCATCAGTCTGCCACCAGAGAAACATCTTTTGAGCTCAGGTGGAAGTCATGAGTACATACAAACTGGTAATTACAACTAATGATAATTCATGCTTAATCATGTTACTCAACGAAGTTTCAGCATTCATAATGCATATGATTGATGTAGCATGTTTTCTAATCAATAAGGTGGACAATTTCCACCCTGTATCCTAGAAATAATAAATTATTTAATCATGTATCGGCAAAGGGACTTGCACCAGTTCACTTATTTTGTGAACCATGTATCGGCAACATGATTGAAGTGCACCAGGAAAAATCCAGGTTTCACATATCACCCAAATTTCTGGTCAAAAGGAAGAATTTACATATGACAATGCAATAAGGATTTAGTTAACTGGTGATAACAGCTAAAACTTCAGGCTCCGTTATACAAATAATTGAGTATCCGAAGGAAACAGACAATGTGATTATAATGCGAAATATATTTGGCAGGCATGCTCAGTATTAAAGCATGCTAAGTGATGTTAGGTTTTTTTACCCCCCACCTTTCTTGATTTCAATGCATTTATCTTGAAGACATACTTTCGTCAAAAAAAAAGATAATAAATAACAGATGCTGAAATTTATTGTTAATGGAAAACTTAAAATCTGCTGAAGGCACTTTGGTATCCAGTTGTTTATTTTGGATAATCTTTTTAAATGAACAGCAGCCTTGTTACAGACACACTTTTTTCGCTAAAGTAATTATATAAATTTCAACAGAGATGGTAGTTAAGGTCAGTGTACTCATTCTGATAACAGTATACATTACTTCATCTCAATAAGTAGAATATTACCAAAAAGAGACTGACCAGCGGAAATAGTATCCAATATATGTATTTCCCAAAAGATTCAAAATAAATGACATTTCCTCAGCATTCTGAAATAAAATTGGCTGAAAATATTCACATGTTGAGGCATGGATTCTGTTAGACCCTAATGCCACTAGAAAAGAACCCTAAAAAGAGGTGAATAGGATATTATGCTAATCTAATATGATTTATGTCAAATTAAAAACTTATTAACAAATATCCTAGAAAAATAGATATGCAACACTTAATATGCAAGGATATGAAACTAAGGGTGATGTAAACACAAAGCAATATAAACAAGATAATGAACAAACTAAATAATGAAACAATGACGATGTAAGCAATGAGCACAAATATAAGTGAACGCCAATGCACACTCAAACACATAAAAAAAGATCACGGAGTTCGGACTTTCCGTCTTACGTCTCCGCTCCCCACTCCCGGGAAGAATCCACTACATAACCGGGTTTTTAACGCTCACCGAATAACGTTTACACCACACAATATCGGTTTTCAACGCTCATTGATCAAACGTTCACAATCACTCACAATGTAACTACACAACTGTCATCACAAGTGTTAGCCTCTCACGTGTCTCCCTCAAGTGCTCGGAATTACTACCTCTCACTAGGTTTTACTACCGACGTCACTCCTCTTGGGACCGACCACATCTCTCACCTCTACACTTCTCTTGGTGTACTTGTGTAATACAAAGTGAACCTCACAAATTAACGCTCAACAATAAATGATTGTTCTCTAAACAAGATGAGAACTCAATTAAACTCAACTCAATATTACAAACTCTCACAACCCTAATAAAACTATGTATGAAAATACTAAAAGCTCAAGTGGGAGTGGGTAACAATAAGATTTAATAAATAAAACAAATCTAAACTCAATTATAAATCTAGCTTTAATAAAAATGATAAACAAACAAATATGTAAATGTAAAGCTAGATAGAGTTTAGAAACACTTCACTAAAGATGACAAGAGAGAGAAGAGTGAAGCTCAAACACAAATGGTGATCTCCTCTAGCTCTTGAGAAAATTTCTTTACAAACCGAAACTTGAAACAAACTTGAAACCCTTAAACAGACTTGTAAAACTCTTTTAAACTTTTCTCTTCATTGGTTTTAGGTCTAAGGTATGAGGGATATTTATAGAGACCCCAAAACACAAGAAAAACAAAGCA